ATATATATATATATATATATATATCCTACAATGATCGAATAGTCTATTTTGGAACTGACTTTTACCAGAGGTTGATTTTGGTTTTTGAAATGTAATCATGAGTAGTGAATTTATCATCAAACTTTTTAATCACTCAAATAACTCCATGAATAGACAACCACATGATTTAACACAGGATTTCATACATTTCATTGTTAGTTGATTTAAATATATTTTTAATTACTTAAAATTAGAATAAATATTTTTTTATCCTAAAAAATATAAATAGATAATTTTAAAATATTAAAATATTAAAATTATAAATTAATATGAACAACTTAATCATTTTTTTCTAAAAAATTTTATTAAAAATATGTTTTTCTATTATCATAAATCATATATTATTGATTCCTATGGCACCAATAATTATTTATCATATTCCAACGTAATTTAAGAAGAAGAAAAAAACTTATTATTTATTGATTCCTACAGCTCGCTTCCCATGTATGCTAGTGAAAAGAGATTATATTAGACCGTAACTTATATGACTATTATATCATTTAATATATTTTAATTACATAATTTAATTTCAAAATTTATTATTAAATATTGAAAGTATTTTTTTAAATATAAATTATTTCTAAATAAATATATTAATATAAAACTATATCTCCTTCGTACACATTAATATTAATGTAATGTATATATGTTTAAATGTGCACAATCATATAAGTCATTTAATTAGTTTAAATTTTAACAAATTATACAAATAATGAGATAATATATTATAATTAAGTAAATAAAATTTATATTTGACATAAATTACTGCACGAGTGTTAAAGGTCCATCTTGAAAACGCAAGTACTCGCAATTTACAACCCAGCGGCACATACAGAACAGATCAGAACAAGGTCCACGTTATGGCTCCAACTTTCAAGTTTCAACCCTTGTCGTCAAGCCTCCATTGGACCCACTGCCAGACCAATTATATATGTCCTTTCACTTCTAAAACATATTAAAACTAAGCATATGAAGAAAAAAAAAGTGTGAAACTGAGTGAATAAAAATGATAAATATAAATATAAATAAATGAGAAATAAAGTAAAATAAACTTTTTTTTTTCTTATATGTACCACATATATCTTTTCATAAGTATTTAACAATTGTATACTCGTTGTTCAAACTCGAGAAAAATAAATGTTTTTTAAGATAAATATAAAAGATATAAGAAAAAAAATTAAATAGGTGAATAAAAATATGTGACATATTTTTTCTTTTTCTCATATCTTACTAACTAATTGTATTCACATTTTTTAATTTTCACTTATTTCTTTTATCGTTACTCTATTTCTTTTTCTCTTTTTTTTTTTATCAAATGAAAAGTAAGTTTATTTGAATTAACTTTTAATTATTTCAAAATCGATTACAAATTTATGTTAAAGACCGCTAAAATAATAAATACTTGTTTTCTCTTTTACAACAGACTTAGATATATACTTTTCAGAAAGAAAAAAAAAATAAGCATATTATTCATGGATCATAAATGTAATTGAACTTGAAGAATTAATTGTTGTTGTGTCTTCACAACTTAATGGGACACCCTCTACCCCAACATCAATACACAATAAATGTAAACAATAATTTTTTTTGAGTAAATAAGATCTTTCATAGTTTAATAACATCTTTCATGTATAAAACAATTGTTTCAAATATCATAAGGTAGAAGATTCACATTCTTAACTCTTCAATTATAAAAAAAATCAACATATAAGTATTAAAACTCAAGAAATTATATAAAGAAAAATATATATTAATTCCAGTAAAGGTGACAATGCCTCCTAGTTAGGAATTAATTTAAAACTTTCAAATCATGTAATAAAATAATATGACAAAGATGTACATTTTGGTCTTTTCTCAAGAACGTTCAAAATTACAAAAGAATAGAAAATTAAAGCTTTTAAAACAATAACATCCCAAAAACAAGCCTAGTTGTGTCCGATGTCACATCCTATCAGAGCATGCCCAACTGAAGCCTTAAGCCTCATTACCAACATCCTCATAATGCTGATCACCTGCAACATAATTTAAACATATACAAAAACAACAAAGGAGTGAGAAACATCTCACTCAGTTTCAGGTGCACAAATAAAGGTTAGATAGCACACACGCACAACAAATATAAGTCACATGTACACAATACACATAAATAATCAATATCACATATATACTCATTTATCATACTCTATATGCTGTCATGAACTCGACTCATAAATGCATGCATGTGGCACCATAAGAAAGTTTCAAAATTCATCACTGGTGACCCTAAGACACACCTGTACAACTGTCGGTGACCCTAAGATACACCTTGTTAGCATGTCACAACTGTCGGTAACCCTAAGGTACACCTTGTTAGCATATCACAATTGTCGGTGACCCTAAGGTACACCTTGTTAGCATCACTGGTATGCGGCCTCAACGGCACACTTGAAGTAATATATGCATATGATGCATGTCACACATTCATTATTTCATTACTCAACATTTAACTTATTATAGAATTTCATTAAGTATATCATGTCATTATTTTTCATGTTCTCATAATCATAACTTGTCTCAATAGTCCATTCTTAGGTCTCATGTCATTTTTCCATATTTCACATGGTCATGTCATAAATACTCCTCATAAGGTCCGCACAGGAATTCACAGAGAACATTCTTTTTCATATTAAAACATTTATTTTTAGCATTAATTCCATATTCATTTATTACTTTCAAGGAACAAAGTAACAAGGAACAAAGTAGACCAAACAGAAAAATAGAACAACAGGCAAGGGATTGGAGGCCAATCCAACAATCAAACTATCTAACAATTATCCTCACACTCCCGAGCGAGGTTTCTCACTCCCCCCTTACCTGGATAAGCAGGAGCTGGAACTTGGGTAGAACCTCCTCCTCTAGATTCCCTCTTTTCTTTCCCTCTCTTTCTTTCTCTCTCTCTCTCTCTCTCTCTCTCTCTCTAAGATTTCACTTTCTTACTCCGTTATAAATTTTTCACCCCCATGCCCCTATTTATAGGCATCTTGGCGCACCCGGAACAGCCCGTACTGATTTCGGAACGGCCCATTCTGGATCCTTCAAATATATGCAAATATTTCAACTGGAACGGCCCGTTCTAAAATCGGAACGACCCGTTTTCGAAAAGCAGAACGACCCGTTCTAAATTCAGAACGGCCCGTTCTGGAGTACATTTTTACACAGATTGACCTTAATCGGAACGCCCAGTTTCTAACTCAACTTTTTAGGCATTTTTAGAATTTCGGAACGGCCCGTTTCACTTTGGGAACGACCCGTTCCGGAAAAACCCAAATAGGCCATTTTACACATTTGGAACGGCCCATTCTGCTTCCTCAAAAACAGTTTATTTTCATTGTCTGGAATGACCCATTCCACTTTCGGAACAGTCCGTTCCAGCGTAAAGAAACAGAATTTTATAAAATTTTTCACAAATAATTTAAATTGTTACAAACTTCTAAAATATTCTATAAAAATCCCTTTTAATTAACTAAAATAACTATAAAAATTATTCTTCATAAATATAATAATAAATAATAAATAATATTATAATAGTAGAAAATCCAGGGTGTTACAATTCTCCCCTCCTTTTAGAAATTTCATCCCCGAAATTTACCTGAAAAATAGAAATAGATAAATTTCTCGCATCTTGCTTTCTAATTTCCGTGTAGCACTCACCACCTTATTGATGTACAACTCTATCAATCTCTCCAAGAAATGTCTAATGTTTATAAGTACAAGGTGCGCAAACTCGGTAAGCCTATCCATAAGATCAAATTTCTTAAGAATATCATACATAACTACAACTAAGTCCATAGATACAAAATCTTATTTCCAAATTAGGACATCTAAAAGTTACAATAAATCTGAAAGTTTTTGGTGTTCTGCCTTAGTTTTCTAATATATTAAGTAAGCATACACAAATTCCTCCACTTCCTTCTTCATCTTAGGCCACCAAAACATCTTTTTAAAGTCTTGGTACATCTTAGTGGCTCCTGGATGGATACTAAGGTTACTCTTATGACCTTCTTTTAGGATTGCTCTCTTAAGCTTTGGCATACTAGGAATGCACAACCTATCCTTAAATCTCAAAACTCCATCCACTTCAAATTTAAACTCACTCTCCACACCTTGATTCAACTTCTCTACTTGACTCAATAAGAAAGGATCTATCTTCTGACATTTTTTACTCTCATCTATTAAACTATTAGTCACTCTCAAGACTCCCAACTTAATATTCTTAGAGGTCAACTCACACCCTAAGTTCATATCCTTAAACTCCTCAATCATATGCAATTCCCTAATCATCAAAGAAAACACTCTCAAAGATTTTCTACTTAAAGTATCAGCTACAATATACGCCTTACAAGGGTGATAATTCAATTGAAATTCATAATTCTTAAAGAACTCTAACCATCTCCTCTACTTCTCTTTTCACCTTAAACCATCACGCTTCTGCTGCGCCACTCTGATACATTTTAGTAACTCCTAAATGAATGCTAAGAGTACTCTTATATTCTTTCTCTACTATCATCTTCCTTAATTCGGGTTTACTAGGCACATAGATTCTATCCATGAACCCCAAAACACCATAACTTCCACTCGTAAAAGGACCATTTATATCCCTACCAATCTTTTTCACTTGGGTCACTAAGAAAGGATCTAACTCCTGGGTCCTCTAATCTCATCCATTAATCTATTAATCCTTTCAACATTTTCAATTCAATGTTCCTAAGGGTGAGCTTACATATTACGCTTAAGTCTCTAACATCCTCAATCGAATCCAACCCTTATATCATCAAAAATGATAGATGAATGCTCATCCTACTCAGGGCATTTGTCACTATATTTACTTTTATAACCCTCTCCAAGGATTAGACGCCTAAGTGTAAGTTCACTATGTACTCATACTCAGTCTTCAAGTCTTACCACTTCATTAATACCCCAGGCATACCCTTATTCACTACCTTGTCCTATAGCCTCATGTCTTGCCACCAAAATGAATCGACTAATACCGTTCAACAATCTTCTCGTTACTCGAGTCATACCTAGTTTCCCACTACTAGGAATAATTTCACAAGACAAACTTAAATTCCTAATTTGAGCCAAAAGATACATCTTTAACCATAAAGAAAGATAATATAGATGTTTCATACTCAAAGCATCGACCACTACATTAGATTTACCCAGATAACAACAATTTTCAACTATCTCTTCTATCTCATATTTAACTCCTTCGGATCAAACAGATATTTAAGATCCTTATGATCACTAAATACCTCAAGCTTAGAATTATAACAGTAATGTTGGTTATGGCATGACCGATGTTAAAAGTGATTAATTTTTTTAAAAATAATTAACTTGTTTTAGGAGGATCCCTGAACAAAACCTGCAAATTAATAAAATACCAAACAATTCATATGTTTTCAATGGACTAAATTACTTTATAGGATTAAGCTAAAATCTAGCACATAGGCCTACACTAAACTTGATGTCAAATTTGCTAGCAATCAGGTAAAGGAGAGATCCAATCATACTTTTGTAGGTCGTCTGATCTACTGGTTTACCTGATTTGTCTTTTGATAGACCCATAGATGGATGCATAGGTTTAGGCATTGGTTTACAATCATTCATCTCAAACTTCGAGAGAAGCTCTTTTGTATACTTTTACTGATGAATGAAGATTCCTTCATCTAATTATTTGATCTAAAACCCTAGGTAGAACTTCAACTCACCCATCATGCTCATTTCAAATTCATTCTGCATTAGCTTAGAAAAATCCTTACACAAAGATTCATTAGTAACACTAAAAATAATGTCATCACCGTAAATTTGTGCAACTATAAAATCTAACCCAGATTCTTTTCTGAATAGAGTTGTGTCAACCTCGCCTTTCACAAAATCATTATTTAAAAGGAAGTTTCTTAATCTTTCATACCCAGCTCTATGAGTTTGTTTCAG